ATATTCGTAGCCCAGGCGCGCTGCTTTGCAGGCTGGCGTTTGGCGAGGAGCGCTGGGGGAGAGTCCAGGAGCGAAGCGAAGTTCTGCCAGGCTGCGGGGAAGGGGCGGCTGTTCCTACCCGCTTTGAGAGGCAGATCGGAGACGGGACCCTTGGGCCATCAGCCCAGAAATGGCCTTGGACCTGAAGCCATAGCTCCGATTAGAAAATCATTGGATTGAAACCACCGGCTTCACCTGGAGGGAGGGGAGGCTGACAAGTATTTTTTTAGGCAAAGTCTTCTGATGAGAAAGATTTCCCCTTCTAGTGGGAGCCCGCTTTGAAACGGGGAGGGGGGAAGTAGGATACTCAGCGTTTTCCACTGAACGCAAGGGTCTAATGCCGCCTAATTTAGATGGCCAAATAATCAATAACAAATGTTTCCAGCGCACTCATTTAAGGGGGTTGTAAAAGGGGGAAAGTTTGCACCATATAAGAACAAAGCCACACACAAAAAGAGGGGAGGAGGGGGATCCAGAAGTGTACGGCTAACCTGTTTCTCATGCCCCAGATATCAAAGGCAAGGATTCAGGGCTGGCAAGCAATCGCCAGGAGGTGTATTTTTAACCCCCCTAATGGCATTTGCGATATGGAAAATCAGATTGGACCAGATCCGATGTAGAGGAAGATTGAGCCCCGAGACTTACTGGCTTTTAAACTCGGATTGTAACAAATCGCTCTAGAAAATAGCAGGCATTTAAATGGCTCCCGAATTCGCTGGAGACGACCCGGGAGCTGTGATTGAAATAAGTCAAATAAAATTTGTCATCTTTAAAATGTAAAAAGACATTAATGGTCTGTTAGGTCGGATGATTAATATAAGCGCCTGAAAACAACCCTAAAACATTTCCACCCTCAGCGAGAAGATTAATCATTGGAAAAGGTATTTAATCGTTAACATACCTCTCTGCCCAAACGCTTTAACAAAGCAGCGGGCTTGGCAAACTAACGGTTTTTCCTCTCGCATAGGTCTGATTGCAAACACACACACACACACAAATGCAGCGCCCAGATGTGTGTGTTTAGATACACGTCGACACACAGCTAGACACAGTACATTGATGTGCGCACACCCAGAAATATACACGGTGGAGGTTGCCAGAGAATGGAAGAACACCGCTATGGTTATGATACCGATATTATATGGAATAGCACATCTCTTTGCAGCGTATTCGTTCGTTAAACTTTCCACGAGGTTTGGCAGAAGCAGAGCGCAATATACGGCAGAAGCCAATTAATTAGTAATTACGGTTATATTTTGCCCTTTGATTTCACAGCCGTTTCTGGAACCCGCGAAGGATTTCGTTGTTTTGGTCTCATTTAGAACGGTGTAAATCCGGAGCAAGCCCCTTGCCTCCAGTTGGGTTACTCCGGATTTACACGGGGGTGTAGAAGCAATCGGAATCTCGGAATAGGCATGTCTTGCTGTCCATTCCCTTTGCTCTCTGTGGATCCCCAGGTCCCTGGCTACCGCGGGACAGTACCCCGGGCCGCCCCCTTACAACAATATTTTCAGACCGTGAACCCAGGGTGCCCATGGGGGCAGCTCCTTAGCCACCGCACCCGACCGCCCAGTTCCAACCCAGGCAAAGTTTCACGGGGTTGTCAATTGATGCCAATCGTGCCTTGGTCCAAGGAGCTCCACAGAGCCCCTGCATGTCGGGGGCTGCTTAGGGCGGACTAGTCCCAGGGCAGGGCGGATCCACCGCGCCCAGGGACCCGGGTGTGCTAGGCTGGGGCGCAGGGATAGCCCACACCTGAGGATGTGAGACCTGGGCAGGGCCTTGGCTTTCCCAGCCCATCTCGGAAAAGTGCAGCGCAAGGGGGATTGTGGGGGTTGAGGGGCAATATTTCAGGGCCCGATCCTGTGCTCTGACCCAAGAACCCCAATCCCATCGAGCTGCAGGATTTGGGCCCTCACCCCTCTTCAAACAGGCGGCCGGGCTTTTTCCAGCCTCTGCGGAGCCATGCACCAGCGACCCTCGGGCTGCTGCAGCTCGCCTCTAGCTGAGATTCTCCAAAACACTGGACAGCGGGCCAGCAGCCACCGAAAGAGGCCATTAGCCGCCCAGAATCCGGATTTAGAGCCGCTGGCCAGGAGAATCCAAGCGGACAGAAATGCACCCAATCCGAACAAGCAGTAATACAAAATGCAATCCGATTTATGGTCACCATATCATCGGCGACCGCGCGCGCACACGCGCACACACACACACACACACACACACACACACACACACACACACGGGGTGTGAGGGCAGATCTACCCCCGAAGGTAATTACAGGGCAGGATCTGCCCATTCTAACTGCTTGTGGACTCTAGTTCATTGACCCCCGTCATTCACGTGTGTCCCTGTCCCGCGAGGGATTTGGGGACACCCCCGCCCCTCGTGCATTCACACCCGTGCGCACAGTCCCGCCCGTGAGTCACACATTCTTAAGCCGTGACGGTAACAGTGCCCAGATGTTCAGCATCATCACACCATTACCCCGCGCGCTGCCCCGCAGGAGGGGCCCTGCTCAGCCCCGTAGCCCAGCGCAGGGTGCTGGCTGCGCCCCGGGGATCTGCGGGCAGGGCCTTGGGGCCATTCGGAGCAGGGGGTTCGCCTGCCCAAAGCGAGCCCCCTCGGAGCCCCCCAGGGGCAGGAAGTGTGTGTGTGGGGGGGGGGGGGGGGGAGGGCTCGTTTGGAAATGCCCGGCTTTAGGGCCAGGTGCTAGATCCATGTAGGTCCTTGCTCGGGCAGCGTTCCCACTAATCGCACCCACTCGGTGCGAGCCCAGGCGGACTAAGCCCCGCAGGCCTGGGCCCACAGGGAGCTGGGTCTCGGGAGGCTCCCACCCCCAGGCCGGCTCTCGCTGCCCAGCGCACACGGCGGTTCCTTGGCCTCCCCGATTTCAGCCTCCCCACCATCCTACCAAGGCTCGGCCCCCAAACCAGGGGCGGACCGAGCTTAAGAGAGCCCAGAAGTTGTGCCCTGCCCTAAGAGAGGGGCTGTGTGGGGCCCGGTTCGATGCCCACTGTCCCACCCTGCGCGTTCAGGGGCCTGGGCTTTAGGGAACCTACCGAGTCCAGCACGTCCCATTACTGCCAGCGGCGAAGCGCTCCTCCAGGAGCGGGACCCGGACACACATCTGGGGGGGGGGGACACCTCTCCCTTGTCCAGCTCTGCTGCCGGGAAACACGCCAACCTGCCGGGCCTCGCCGCCTGGATTCACCCCCCATCGCTCCACCGTCTCCGACCCGCGGGGTCCCCCCAGGCTGGGCCAGAGACGGGGGAGGAAACCCGCCCTTGCCCCTTGGTGCTTCCAGCGACTGGCTTTCAAACGTTTCCCTGCCGAGCTATTCAGTCCGTTCCCAGCCCTCCCCGACCCGCTGCGGGAGAACCGGGCTGCATGACCCGTGTGTACGCGCGGGGGTAGATTTCCTTCGGACCGAGCCCCCCACGGGAAGCACAACCGGGCTTGGGAACGGGGACCCTCCTGTGGGGACGGGGGTTAGAACCACACACACCTTTTAAGCCCATTTAGCGCCCCAACCCCCGTTCCGAGCCTCGATTCAAGGCCACTTGCCCCGCAACTTTGTGTATTTTTTTGCATATTCGGCAATTTCCAAGGGCGCAGGATCAGCTGCAAAGCTGGGGTGCCGGGGGACGGGATTTGTCTGACCTGGTGGGGGGAGAAGCTGCGGTCACTCGCCCAACCGAGACTGGCACAATTGATCCCCGGGCCCATGTGGGGCCAGGCTGAAGAGAGGGAACAAAAGGAAAAGAATCAAACGGGGACCTAGCAAAGGCCAAGGCGGATCAGACTCCACTTCGCCGCGCCCCTAATTACAAATCCAAGCCATTCGGTGACCTGCTCAGAGAAGGGGAACTATTTGACAAGCAGGAGATCCGACTGCCAGCTCGACAAGTCTGATGGTTCAACGCATCAGAAACTCCAAGGAGGAAGCGCCTGGCTTTCCCCGCGGGCTGCATTTCTCTGGTCATTCAGAACTTTTGCGTTTACACTTGAACCTACACACACGAGTTCGACGCCGCTTTACCCTGGGGATCGCGGGGCGTTCTAAGCAACTCCCCTCGCTTTTCTTAAGCAACGCAAACCCTGGACAATGTGTGTCCTTAAAATAAAAACTCCAGGGGCAGATCTGCGTACCCCCAGCCCCGTTTGTGCCAGGACTGGTAGGGCTGGATACAAGTGGGCGCTCATCCCGGGCGGCGTAGCTACGGCTTTCTTACCACCCGGCCCATTGTGACTAGAATTATGAAACCTTTCGGAGACATCGCTCCCGGGTTGCCTTTTCTCCTCTAGTTCAGCAATTCTTTCCTCGCCAGAAAACAACCCCCGGGAAGCGGGTTTCTTGGCGGGGCTGCCGGGGGAGCGCAGTCGCTCTGTCTGATTTCCAGGATGGTCTTTTATTGCTCCGAGTCCGTGTTTGACACAGACCCCGCTTTACTGGCGGGAGCAAACAGCAAGGTGTGATAAAAGTACTGCGCAAATAAACTCAGCCTGGCAAAGCAAACAGCTCGGGGGCACTTCTCCCTCCTCCCCCCTTCTGCCACGGACCCTCCCCTTTCCATTGGCTCTGGGGAAAGTTTGACATCAAAGCCCCCTTCCCTATATAAAGGCAGAGCTGGGAGGCTGCAGAAGGGTTAAAAAACCACCCCCCTTCCCACACATACACACCCCTTTCCCCCGCCAGCAGAGCTGGGTGCCGAGGACAAACGTCCCAGCAGAGAATTTGCTAAGGAGCCGTTCCAGGGCCTGGCTTCCCCGGCCTGGAGGAGCATCTGAGCTGCGGAGAGTCGCCCAGGCTCGAGGGAGAGCAGGCAGGAGGCTGCCCCGTCCGGCCCAGGGGGTGTTGGAGCAAGGGATGGCTCAGGCTGCCTAGGCGAGCCCAGGGCAGGGTAGATCTCTCCAGCCGGGCTCTTTCTCCGGGACCGCTCCGCGCCTCGGGCAGACCATGAACCTGGTGGGGAGTTACCAGCACCATCTGCTCCACGAGCCCTTCCTCTTCAGCCCGGCCTCCAGGTGCCACCCGGAGCGCTCCTACTTCCAGAGCTGGGTGCTCAACCCGGCCGAGGTGTCCCCCGAGCTCTCCGGGCAGCCCTCCCGCTACCCCAGCGCCGAGTTCGGGGCTCCGGGGCCCGGCCACGGGCCCAGCCGGCTGGAGGCGCTGAGCAGCCGGCTGGGCCGGCGGAAAGGCGTGGGCCCCAAGAAGGAGCGCCGGAGGACCGAGAGCATCAACAGCGCCTTCGCCGAGCTGCGGGAGTGCATCCCCAACGTGCCGGCCGACACCAAGCTCTCCAAGATCAAGACCCTGCGCCTGGCCACCAGCTACATCGCCTACCTGATGGAGGTGCTGGCCAAGGACAGCCAGGCCGGGGAGACCGAGGGCTTCAAGGCCGAGCTCAAGAAAACGGACAGCCGGGAGAGCAAGCGGAAAAGGGAGCCGGTAAGGCCGAGGGGGGAGCCGGTTGACGAGGGGCAGCGCGGGCTAAGGCGAGCCGTTGCTCTGGGCTCCCTAGGGCCGTGCCCAGAAAGGTGCCCAGGTCAGTGGGATGCCCCGGTGCATGGGAGGCGTTTACCGCCTCGGCCGCTCTCCCGCATGGGACCTCAGCTACCCTGCACGGGGGGCTGGTTCCACCCCTGTGCCCGGCCCGTGGGTTAGCGGGCAGCGAGCTTTCTGCTGGCCGGCGAGCCCCGCGCTTTGCGAGCTCGCCCGGCAGAGGCAGCTCCGGCGAAGGTCCAGGGGGGTGGTACGTAGCGTGATTTCCCGCGGCTCTACGCCCGGCCACACCGAGGGCAGCAGATAAATGCTCCCGCTGGTGATGCGCGCAACGCCGCAGCGCAGGTTGCAAGAATATTGCTCTGCTGCACGGGATATTAGATTGCAGCGCGGATGCGGCTAGGCGCCATAGACACGCTGCGCTGGGGTTTTATTCCGCTGACTGGAGCCCGGGTTTATCTTCGCCAGAGCCCAGGGCAGGGGGCTCCGTATTCCGATTCCCCCCTGCGGTCTAAACGGTCCCTGTTTAATCCCCCATCGCGTGGAGCTGCTTCAACAGTTCGCACCTTTCTTAAGGGGGAGGCGGGAAGCTTTTAAACATTGCAAATGGGAAATCCCCCCTCCCCACCCCCCAGCTGCCAGGCCTGGCTCCAGTTCGGGCTAGTTGGAAAAGTGGGGGAGCGCCTGGATGCGATGGGCAGCCCCAGCCTCCCTGCCGGGCTTCCAGGGACAGTCAGACTCGGGCCCTTCCTTCGCGGCAATGTTTTTACGAGTCTTTTTTTTTTCTGGACGCTGCAAACAAAAACCCCGCCGGTGGTGGGAATCCGAACCCCACTGGGACACCCGAGCTTCGCCCCAGCCCATTTCCTACCTAGCGAGGGAGAGGGAGCGCGGGACACAGTCTGCCCCCGTTACAGCCCCACTGAGCGGGGCCGTGACACGGGCCAGACTGTAACCCCGGTCATGTTCTAAACACAGGTCGATAAACGCGTCCACACAGCGAATCCCAGCCTTGGCGCTGCTACTCCCGTTACAAACCCGATTTGGGGGAACCGCCGCCTCCTGCCACGTTTTCTTTAACCCCCAAATCAAGGGCTTGTTTGCTTACATTTCTCAACAGGCGCGCTGCGCTCTAGTCCTGATTTTGAAACGAAAGCGCCAGCCCAGGCGACCCCGGTGCTGATCCGCCGCTCACCCAAACCCCGAGAACGTCTCCGGGCTCGGGGTGTGTCAATAATCGAATCCAAAGAAAATTCGCGGATCGATTAAAACACAAATACGCCTTGATCCCCGCCTCGTTGGCATGATTATTCCCAACGCGCCTCGCTGGTGGGAAAGGGCCGCATTTTGGAGGAAAAGACCAAAACTAGCCTCGCTTTTAAAAAGGAGCTTGTCTTTTACCGTGGCCGAGGAAATCATTTCCTCACCAAACAAAACCCGGAGCACCCTCCCGGTTGCGGGAGCTTAATATTTTTCAAGCGCAACTCCTCGTTTCCCTCTCATTCAAAGGAACAGAACCGCCTTGGCGCTTAAAGCGAATAGTGTGTAATTGACTAGAGCCCCGTTGTATTTACCAACAGGAGCGTGGACTTACAATAACGCCGCGTTCACTGTTTAGAAAAGCACGGCGAATAAAGGCAAATTTATGGCCCTGCCCCGATCTCTAACATTTATAAACAGTAACACAATATACCATCTTTTTAACAGCACTCGCCTGAAATATACAAGCAGTGGTATACAGTAGAACGCAGCCGCTTTGATGTGTTTTTCTTATTAAAATCCTTGCTCGTAAATATTTGGTCTCTCCCCCCCCCCTTCATCTTTTAAATTTATATTTATTTTTGTTAAGCACTTACCCGTGTTTCCTTTTGTGTTTCCCCCCCCCCTTTGGCTTTGTGTTTTTCTGCAGCAGCCTGAAGTCTACTCGCATTCCCTAGGCCATGGAGAGAAAAAGCTTAAAGGAAGGACTGGTTGGCCTCAGCAGGTCTGGGCTCTGGAGTTAAATCAGTGAGAAGAGAGACACAAATCAAAGACCGAACTCATTTTTAAAACCGATCCAGAAGATTTTTCCCCCCCTGAGCGCTCGTCAGGCTGGGAGTGTAACCAATCGCTCTTATCATGTGCAATGTTTAAGAAGGAAAAAGGGTTGGAGATGGGGAGAAATCCAGGAGGGGGGGAGAATATGAAGAACTGGGCAGGAGGAAAAGAACTCGTGAGAAACAGGGTGACTCTAGTGTAAACGAAACACGCTCTGCTTGTTCTAAATGCTCCGGAATTGGAATCGCTTCCCTACCTTATTTTTCCAGCGGCCTTAATTTTCTCCTTGCTGAAGGCATCCCCTGGTCTCTGTCTCCTTTCGCCATAAAAATGAAACGGATGCAATATGGACTCTCAGCAGAAACACAAATAAGAGCGGTAGGCAGGATCCGTTTCTGCCTGGGCAGTCTGGGGCGGATTCTGATCCTGGTGGACATGCAGAGGCAGTAATATCGGGAGGTTGCCCTGTGAGGTGAGTGAATGCAGGATCGGGACCTAATGCAGAGAGAGCTGCTTGAATCGAATGAGCCCTCAACTAATTTTTTTTTTGTAACCTTTCAGTTCATTTATTTTGTAACCAGTGTTTGGCTGGCTCCCGCCCTTCCGCCCAACAGTCTGAGGGAAACACCTTGTTCTTATTTTTGTAAATACAACCCCCACGTTGTTGAAATGTGTTGATGTATTTAAACTACCTAACGCATTTGGGAAGTTTCCTGTGCCGGGTTTTCTACCTCAAATTTGTATGACCACTTGCCGAGAAAACAGGTTCGCCAAGCCAACTATTTATGTGGATTTAAAAAAAAAATAAATAAAAGTTTTATTAAAACGGATTTTCCCCTTTTCGGCCAGACCGCGGTGCCCCCAGGGCTGGCCCAGCAGCCCGCAGTCAGATGCTTTGCTGCGGATGAAACGGACAAGGACGGAGGCGTTCTCTGAACGGCTAAAACAGGGTGTTTCTTTTAAAAACGGATTTATATAAAATACTAAAAGCAGCAGGAAAATTAGCATTGATCAATTGACCCCTTTCGGATTGTAACATAGATCTGATAGTGCACTAGGTGTGTGTATAGAACAGATCAGATCTGGGTTCGGTATAGATGTAGAGAAAGCCACATGTAGACACTGCTGATAATATTAGAGCTATGTATAATACTGTGGGCTCTAGAGATAATTAAATCGACATATCTAGATTATTATATGCATATATAGCATAAAACCTATACAAGGATGTTACTAGCAGGGGGCTGGAACAATTTATATAGTGGAGGTGCTGAGAGCCATTGAACCAAACTCTAAACCCTGTAGATGATGGAAACCACTTCAAGCTAAAGGGTGCTGCTACACCCCCAGCACCCCTGCCTATTATTCTCTTTATATTGCAGGGGTACCTGGAAGCATCACTTAGTTTGTGGCTTTGGTGTACTAAGCCCTGTACTGATATCTTTCTTGTATCCAAATAGATATCAACAGAGAGGAGAGCTAGAGCTGTATCGATCGAGATACAGTGTATTAGATAGTGGATGTCCCTCCCACGTACCTACAGTATATATTCCTTTAGAAATATATAGTTACTATATATATTGACAGCAGATTAATAGATTTAAGGCCAGAAGTGTCCATTATGGCCATCTAGTCTGGCCTCCTGCATAACAGAGGCCTAAGCATTGCACCCAAAGATATATGTGTATTTTTATTACATTTATGTGTGTATTTTTATTATATAGGTATCTAAATATTCATACAAAATACAGACATTATATTACCAATATATCTAGATCTATATCTAGAAGTAATATTTATTGTATGGTCACATCTTATATTGATTTGAATATACATATACACTCATATAGCCAGCACACACATTGTGCAGCGTACAGAAGTGTGTGGATGTGCAGCATCTCTCCGTGTATGTATAGTCATCTGCACACACAGATAATTACTGGGGGGAAACAAGGGACTTTTCAGAGTCTGAAGGGTTAATCCCCTGTGTTTTATAGGGGTGGAAACTCCATTAGTGTTAATGTGGCAAGTCAAAGGAAACCTTTTTGCGGATTTCAAACGAAACATGGACAAAACCAAATCACTGGCCCCTCCGACTTGTGCAGGGGGATAAATAACCTTCTTTCAGCAAAGCCAAGAGAAGCGAGATCAAAAAGCCGGGCACATTTTAATGAGGAAAAACACCTCTGTAATAACGACTGCGCTGGGACCACAGAGCGCCGGCAGTGTGTGACCCGAAGGGCCGGGCGGCCGTCTGCAAAGGCTGCTGGGACTCTCCACAAAGCCTCTGCTAACGACAAGCACTGAGAAACACCACGAGCAGACGGCTCCTGGCGCCCACTCCGCTGCCTAGACCCGGCAGCATGGGGATGCAGTCCTACATGTCCCTTCCCCCAGGCAACCGGCCTTTCCCCTTGAATCAGGGCCCTGTGCAGTTACCACACAACCCCCAGAATATTGTGTAATTAGAGGCCGTATCCCTCTCTCATGACACCAGCTTGACCCTACGTAACCTCATTGGTTCCCATGCAGTTATTCCTGATTTACACCACCGTCAGTAAGAGATGGATCAGGCCCCGCCCCGAGTTTGAGACGATCAAAGCATCAAAAGCTCAAGCATTTTGCCTGGGCGTTTTACCCGTTATTTATTTGCTTATTTAGTGGGCTGCCAACCCAAGGGCCTCTGCCCTTTGTGGGAGCTAGCCAGGCCCCTTCCACCCCCCTCCCCCCACAGTGCACAGGGGGAATGGGGAACATGACAGAGAAAGATGCTGAGCTCCTCCTTGGAAGGAAAGAGCTGCCTGTGTGCCTTTGTTCATCTCTCTGGAGATCCTGCATCCCTACCAGAGAAACCCAGCTCCTTCAAGCCATGCCGGGGGTGGGGAGAAACCCATGGGACCCAGGGTGAGGGCTGCCCTGATTTCGCCTCCTTGTGCATGAGGGCCACTTCTCTGCAGAATATGTGCAACCTGCCCCTTCCTGCCACACTCACCCAGGCAAAACTCCTGGGGAAGCCCAGGGGAGTCTGACCTGGGGAAGGACTGAAGGATTCGACCCTACAGTGATGGGGTTTCCTGAGCATGCTTGGGTCCCGATTCAGCTACATGTGCTTTTAGGCCCAATCCCCAACCAGCACAGCACTTAGGCACATGCTTAAGTCCCACTGATAGACTTTAATGGGACTGAGGTGTGTGCTTAAAGTCAGGCCCATGCTTAAGTGCTGTGCTGAACCAGGGAGGACGGTCAAACTGGGGTGTTAACCCCGAGTGTCCTGCCTCTCTTGCTCAGGTGAGAAGTCTTATGGGGGATGACAACACAGCAAAGAAAACCCCATGGCAGCAACTCTCAGAGCCCAGGTCAACTGGCTCAGGCTCCCGCTACAGGGCTAGAAAGAGCCATGTAGCCGTTTGCCTCGCTGGGTCTCAGAGCCCAGGCTCCAGCCCCAGCCCGAACGTCTGCATGGCTATTTTTAGCCCAGTGGCGCGAGCCCAAGTCACTCGGAGACTCGCTGCCGCAGGGTTTTTTGGCTCTGCAGATGTCCCGTTAGCTCACTGGCTTCCACTCAAAGCCTGCACGGCCCCACAGTAAACACAGAAGTGAGATTCCTTATGGGATTTGGAAAAGAAGGAAGTTACCTCTCTGCTTCCACGCAGCACAGACACAACACGCTATTCTGATCCAGGAATCTCTGACGCTGGAGACTAGCTCTCCCCTTCCGTCGCTTCCCTATCTACCCAGAGGGTGAAATACAACCCTTTTCACAAGCTTAAACCCTGCTTGAGTCACAGATGCTTAGCAAGAGCGTGACGCTGGATTCCCCCCTCCCCCTTGTTTCACGTGCCCACGTTTGGTTATTGGAGGGTTGTTTCGGAGGCCTAGCTGCACACACAGGTTTGGGGCCCAATCCTGCATTCCCTGTGTACTCCAAAGTGCCATTCAAATCAATGTCAGCGTGGAGGGGCCTGTGGAAGACAGGACCGCACCCTTGTTATTGGAAGGCTGCTCATGACCAGGAACGCCAGGCCAGGCGCATTTTTGCTCTTGAGAGCTGAGCTGAAAGCAGCGTGCTTTCGATTTAAAACTAGGCCTGTGCTCTGGGGCGCCCACAGGCTATGCACAATGGGTTGTGAGAGTTCTTTGGGTGTTGTCCGTGGGAGCTGGCCTATTTCAAACGCAGTGTACATCAAACCCATGGACTTGGACACTAAAATGCCTTATGGAGGATTATCCCCACAGCTGCAGAACAGCGCCATTTACAAGTCAGTAATCAGGTCCATTTCCACTTCCTCCGGGGTGAGAGGGGGTAAGTAGTTCATAGATTTTTAAGGCCAGGAGGAAGCATTATGTCCATTGAATCTGACCTTCTGTGTAGCACAGAGCAGAGATCCCTGCGTCAAACTCAGCAGCCTGTGGTTGAACTAGAGCATAACAGGGAGCAGCCAGTTATACCAGTACTGATCCTCCAGGCAGAGAGGAGGGGATCACATGGCAGAGAATAGGGTGCCAGGCGGGGGGCACAGAGAGAGGGAGGGGCCAAGAGACATGGAGGTGGCAGGAGGAGGGTATGAGATGCAGGGGGCTGGGGAAGGGCACAGAAAGGGGTGCAGGGAAGGACAGTGTCTTTTATCCATATGAAAAAGTTTAAACACAAAATATTTTCAATATAACACTTGAAATGCTCAGTTTTCCACCAGGATAAAAGCCAAATCTCCCCCCCCCCCCGTGTATAACACCCCCGCCATTTCCCCTCCAATCCTCACGCCGTTCACACCCACCCACCTGAGTATAACTACTTCCATCATACCTCAGCCCCAGGGAGAACTACCCCCCGTTCCCCCTTTCCCCTCATCTGCTGGGTGTAACTACCCCCCTGCCCCTCACCTGCAGATATAACTGCTCCACCTTACACCACACCTCACCCACTTCACTCCTCCCAGTAGAACTGTCCCCCAGCCCCTCCACACCTCCTACAGACCTGCTAGAGTTTTTAGGAGGGAAGCCCCACTTTGGTGGGCCTCGTAAGATACCTGGCTGGGTTCTCTCCTGCAGACCTTGGACACCAGCCTGATTTAAAATGCTGGTGACTCAAGAAAAAAAAAAAAAAAAACAGGGAAATTCCAAAACACCTTCATTAGTAAAGAGCTTGGGTTGATACTGAGCTTCTATGGAGCTAAGATAACTCCCTAAAAACCCCTCCCACCACTCCAAAGAGTTAAAAGTCTGTAAATGAACAGCTATGGGATCTAGCCAGTTTGCCTCTGCCGTATAATCCCTCATGAACCAACAGCACCCCGTGATGCCCCTCCATGGCCAAGTTCATGAGTGGTGAAGCAAATCATCATGTGCAACCTCTCACCTAGGTATCATGTCCACAGGCGGTGGGCTGTATATTTACTAGGGCGCGATTTAAAAAAAAAAAATCAATCGTGATTAATCGCACTGTTAAATAATATCAATTTTCACAATACAGATTGCACTACAGTACTTGTACGAGGAGAACTGAAAAATACTATTCCTTTTATCATTTTTACAGTGCAAATATTTGTAATGAAAAATAATATAAAGTTAGCAGTGTAGACTTTGTATTCTGTGTTGTCATTGAAATCAATATATTTGAAAATGTACAAAAACATCCAAAAATATTTAACCCATTTCAGTTGGTATTCTATTGTTTAACAGTGCGATTACAACTGCAATTAATCACAATTCATTTTTTCAATTGTGATTAATTTTTTTGAGTTAATCGCGGG